CTAATGTATCCCGCCCACTTCCAGATGTCCTAATATACCCCGCCCTCTTCCAGATGTCCTAATGTATCCCCCCCACTTCAGATGTCCTAATATACCCCGCCCACTTCCACATGTCCTAATATGTCCCGCCCACTTCCAGATGTCCTAATATGTCCCCGCCCACTTCCAGATGTCCTAATATGTCCCTCCCACTTCCAGATGTCCTAATATGTCCCTCCCACTTCCAGATGTCCTAATATGTCCCTCCCACTTCCAGATGTCCTAATATACCCCACCCAATTCCACATGTCCTATTATATCCCGCCCACTTCCACATGTCCTATTATATCCCGCCCACTTCCAGATGTTCTAATATTCCCCGCCCACTTCCAGATGTCCTAATATATCCCGCCCACTTCCAGATGTCCTAATATATCCCGCCCACTTCCAGATGTCCTAATATACCCCGCCCACTTCCAGATGTCCTAATATATCCCACCCACTTCCAGATGTCCTAATGTATCCCGCCCACTTCCACATGTCCTATTATACCCCGCCCACTTCCAGATGTCCTAATGTATCCCGCCCACTTCCAGATGTCCTAATGTATCCCGCCCACTTCCAGATGTCCTAATGTATCCCGCCCACTTCCAGATGTCCTAATGTATCCCGCCCACTTCCAGATGTCCTAATATATCCCTCCCACTTCCAGATGTCCTACTATATCCCGCCCACTTCCAGATGTCCTAATATATCCCGCCCACTTCCAGATGTCCTAATATATCCCACCCACTTCCAGATGTCCTAATATATCCCACCCACTTAGCAGATGTCCTAATGTATCCCGCCCACTTCCAGATGTCCTAATGTATCCCGCCCACTTCCAGATGTCCTAATGTATCCCGCCCCACTTCCAGATGTCCTAATATATCCCGCCCACTTCCACATGTCCTATTATACCCCGCCCACTTCCAGATGTCCTAATATATCCCGCCCACTTCCAGATGTCCTAATATATCCCGCCCACTTCCAGATGTCCTAATATATCCCGCCCACTTCCAGATGTCCTATATATCCCGCCCACTTCCACATGTCCTATATTATACCCCGCCCACTTCCAGATGTCCTAATATATCCCGCCCACTTCCAGATGTCCTAATATATCCCGCCCACTTCACATTGTAATGAGATAAACAATGTCCTGCACTTTACCGGCCTGTGGTCAGAATGTTATGGCTCATTGACGTGTACCGGACACCACGCCATCATTCCATGTACTATGCCGGACACCACGCCATCATTCCATGTACTATCCCGGACATCACGCCATCATTCCATGTACTATCCCGGACATCACTTCCATCATTCCATGTACTATCCCGGCCCACATCACGCCATCATTCCATGTACTATACCGGACACATGTCATTCCATGTACTATCCCGGACACCGCGCCATCATTCCATGTACTATACCGGACACCGCTCCATCATTCCATGTACTATCCCGGACACCGCGCCATCATTCCATGTACTATCCCGGACACCACGCCATCATTCCATGTACTATCCCGGACACCACACACCATCATTCCATGTACTATTCCGGACATCACGCCATCATTCCATGTACTATCCCGGATAAACAACCGCTCCATCATTCCATGTACTATCCCGGACACCACGCCATCATTCCATGTACTATACCGGACACCGCGCCATCATTCCATGTACTATCCCGGACACCGCGCCATCATTCCATGTACTATCCCGGACACCATGCCATCATTCCATGTACTATCCCGGACACCCGCCATCATTCCATGTACTATCCCGGACACCGCTCCATCATTCCATGTACTATCCCGGACACCACGCCATCATTCCATGTACTATCCCGGACATCACGCCATCATTCCATGTACTATACCGGACACCGCGCCATCATTCCATGTACTATCCCGGACACCATGCGCCATCATTCCATGTACTATACCGGACACCGCTCCATCATTCCATGTACTATCCCGGACACCACGCCATCATTCCATGTACTATTCCGGACATCACGCCATCATTCCATGTACTATCCCGGACACCGCGCCATCATTCCATGTACTATCCCGGACACCACGCCATCATTCCATGTACTATCCCGGACACACCGCCATCATTCCATGTACTATCCCGGACATCACGCCATCATTCCATGTACTATCCCGGACACCATGCCATCATTCCATGTACTATCCCGGACACCGCCATCATTCCATGTACTATCCCGGACACCGCGCCATCATTCCATGTACTATCCCGGACACACGCTCCATCATTCCATGTACTATCCCGGACACCACGCCATCATTCCATGTACTATCCCGGACACCACGCCATCATTCCATGTACTATCCCGGACATCACGCCATCATTCCATGTACTATCCCGGACACCACGCCATCATTCCATGTACTATTCCGGACATCACGCCATCATTCCATGTACTATCCCGGACACCACCCATCATTCCATGTACTATCCCGGACACCGCCATCATTCCATGTACTATCCCAGACACCACGCCATATCCATGTACTATCCCGGACATGTCACGCCATCATTCCATGTACTATACCGGACTCTGCACCATACCCGCATTCATTCCACCCCATGGTGGATGTATATCAGACTCCATACATGTCACGTCAGTGGTGGATGTATACCAGACTCCGTACATGTCACGTCAGTGGTGGATGTATGTCAGACTCCGTACATGTCACGTCAGTGGTGGATGTATATCAGACTCCATACATGTCACGTCAGTGGTGGATGTGTACCAGACTCCATACATGTCACGTCAGTGGTGGATGTATATCAGACTCTGTACATGTCACGTCAGTGGTGGATGTGTACCAGACTCCATACATGTCACGTCAGTGGTGGATGTATATCAGACTCCATACATGTCACGTCAGTGGTGGATGTATGTACCAGACTCCATACATGTCACGTCAGTGGTGGATGTATGTCAGACTCCATACATGTCACGTCAGTGGTGGATGTATGTCAGACTCCATACATGTCACGTCAGTGGTGGATGTATACCAGACTCCATACATGTCACGTCATAGTGGTGATGTACCAGACTCCATACATGTCACGTCAGTGGTGGATGTATACCAGACTCCATACATGTCACGTCAGTGGTGGATGTATATCAGACTCCATACATGTCACGTCAGTGGTGGATGTGTACCAGACTCCATACATGTCACGTCAGTGGTGGATGTATATCAGACTCCATACATGTCACGTCAGTGGTGGATGTGTACCAGACTCCATACATGTCACGTCAGTGGTGGATGTGTATGTCAGACTCCATACATGTCACGTCAGTGGTGGATGTATATCAGACTCCATACATGTCACGTCAGTGGTGGATGTGTACCAGACTCCGTACATGTCACGTCAGTGGTGGATGTATGTCAGACTCCATACATGTCACGTCAGTGGTGGATGTGTACCAGACTCCATACATGTCACGTCAGTGGTGGATGTGTACCAGACTCCATACATGTCACGTCAGTGGTGGATGTATATCAGACTCCATACATGTCACGTCAGTGGTGGATGTGTACCAGACTCCATACATGTCACGTCAGTGGTGGATGTGTACCAGACTCCATACATGTCACGTCAGTGGTGGATGTGTACCAGACTCCATACATGTCACGTCAGTGGTGGATGTGTATGTCAGACTCCATACATGTCACGTCAGTGGTGGATGTGTACCAGACTCCATACATGTCACGTCAGTGGTGGATGTATATCAGACTCCATACATGTCACGTCAGTGGTGGATGTGTACCAGACTCCATACATGTCACGTCAGTGGTGGATGTGTACCAGACTCCATACATGTCACGTCAGTGGTGGATGTGTACCAGACTCCATACATGTCACGTCAGTGGTGGATGTGTACCAGACTCCATACATGTCACGTCAGTGGTGGATGTATATCAGACTCCATACATGTTACGTCAGTGGTGGATGTATGTACCAGACTCCATACATGTCACGTCAGTGGTGGATGTGTATCAGACTCCATACATGTCACGTCAGTGGTGGATGTATGTCAGACTCCATACATGTCACGTCAGTGGTGGATGTATGTCAGACTCCATACATGTCACGTCAGTGGTGGATGTGTACCAGACTCCATACATGTCACGTCAGTGGTGGATGTGTACCAGACTCCATACATGTCACGTCAGTGGTGGGATGTGTACCAGACTCCATACATGTCACGTCATGGTGGATGTGTACCAGACTCCATACATGTCACGTCATAGTGGATGTGTACCAGACTCCATACATGTCACGTCAGTCCAGTGGATGTGTACCAGGGTGATTGTGACTCCATTTCTGGTTGTCACTCCTCTCAGGGGACATGTCACGTCAGTGGTGGATGTGTATTCCAGACTCCATACAACTCTGTGTTTGATACAGTGATGGTGGATGTGTACCAACTATCCATACATGTCACGTCACGGTGGTGATGTACGTACCAGACTCCATACATGTCACGTGCCCATTGGGAACATGACATTATATCAGACTCCATACAGTCACGGCAGTGGTGGATGTGTACCAGACTCCAACCCTCTTCTCGTCATGTTATCAGACTCCATCTGGTTACGACTTATGGTGGATGTGTACCAGACTCCATCTATGTCACGTCAGTGGTGGATGTGTACCAGATTCCATACATGTCACGTCAGTGGTGGATGTGTATCAGACTCCATACATTTTCACGTCAGTGGTGGATGTGTACAGACTCCATACATGTCACGTCAGTGGTGGATGTGTACCAGACTCCATACATGTCACGTCATAGTGGATGTGTACCAGACTCCATACATGTCACGTCCATTCTGGACCACTTCCTCTTGGTCTTCACACATTCCAGTACAGACTGATGCCTGACTTGACCTGTTTCCTGCTCTATCTGTAGATACTTAGAGAATGTCCAGGTGATTGTGACTCGAAAGGCGGAGGGGGTCAGCCCTGGATTTCTGGTTGTCAATCCTCTCAGGGGACACCACCACTATCCATCAATTGCTGGAAGTCCCAGATGATTCCATTCACCCCAAGATGTCTGTGTTTGATACAAGTGATGTGGACATCCCACCATTGGAGGAACTGGGCTACAACACTACGGCCCAGAGTACGTCACCAGAATAATGAGTCCCAAAATTGGGAACATGACATTATAAAGACTGGAAGTATCCCAGGGTGAGAGGTGACCAGCTTGGAGTCCTAACCCTCTTCTTCTCTTTCAGGTAAATCTGGTCTTTGACTTATAAGGAATAGGACTTCCCCCTCTATGTGCCCCCTGCCAGCCGTGGTTACTCTGATTGCCTCCAGCTCCTCCTCAAGAAGGGAGCCGAAGTTGACTTTTCCCCCGGAGGAGGACATGCCTTACATTGCCAGATAATGGCCCCCCACGGTGAATGTGTGAGGCTGCTACTGAGACATGGCGCCAATGACCAATGTGGAATCCCAAGATGGGACTTTACCTCTCCATTACTGCCAGAAGAATGAGTCCTACCAGTAAGTCATGGCGGCAGTGCCAGTTTGTGTAACAGCTTTATCATAGATAGATGGTGGTGACATCCCACCATTCCAGATAATGGGCCCCCTCCCGGACAGTGAGCGTTCTTCTCTGTGTAAAGATGTCCTCTGACCATTAATATGAGGACATCCCACCATTCCAGATAATGGGTCCCCCCTCCCGGACAGTGAGCGTTCTTCTCTGTATACAGTCTTCTGTCCATTAATCTGACCACCATTAATATGAGGACATCCCACCATTCCAGATAATGGGACATCCCCCAAATAATGGGTCCCCCCCGGACAGTGAGCGTTCTTCTCTGTATAAAACTGATGTCTCTGACCATTAATATGTGGACATCCCACCATTCCAGATAATGGGTCCCCCTCCCGGACAGTGAGCGTTCTTCTCTGTATACAGCTGTCCTTCTGACCATTAATATGAGGACATCCCACCATTCCAGAATAATGGGTCCCCCTCCCAGACAGTGAGCGTTCTTCCTGTGTAAAACTGTTCTCTGACCATTAATATGTGGACATCCCACCATTCCAGATAATGGGCCCCCCTCCCGGACAGTGAGCATTCCTCTCTGTATACAGCTGTCTTCAATGACCATTAATATGAGGACATCCCACCATTCCAGATACTGGGTCCCCCTCCCGGACAGTGAGCATTCTTCTCTGTGTAAAGATGTCCTCTGACCATTAATATGTGGACATCCCACCATTCCAGATAATGGGCCCCCTCCCAGACAGTGAGCGTTCTTCTCTGTATACAGCTGTCCAATGACCATTAATATAAGGACATCCCACCATTCCAGATAATGGGTCCCCCTCCCGGACAGTGAGCGTTCTTCTCTGTGTAAATACAGCTGTCCAATGACCATTAATATGAGGACATCCCACCATTCCAGATAATGGGCCCCCTCCCGGACAGCGAGCGTTCTCTCTGTGTAAAGCTGTCCAATGACCATTAATATGAGGACATCCCACCATTCCAAATAATGGGTCCCCCCTCCCGGACAGTGAGCGTTCCTCTCTGTATACAGCTGTCCAATGACCATTAATATGAGGACATCCCACCATTCCAGATAATGGGTCCCCCTCCCGGACAGTGAGCGTTCTTCTCTGTGTAAAGATGTCCTCCGACCATTAATATGAGGACATCCCACCATTCCAGATAATGGACCCCCTCCCGGACAGTGAGCGTTCTTCTCTGTATACAGCTGTCCAATGACCATTAATATGAGGACATCCCACCATTCCAGATAATGGGCCCCCTCCCGGACAGTGAGCGTTCCTCTCTGTATACAGCTGTCCAATGACCATTAATATGAGGACATCCCACCATTCCAGATAATGGGTCCCCCCATCCCGGACAGCGAGCGTTCTTCTCTGTGTAAAGATGTCCTCTGACCATTAATATGAGGACATCCCACCATTCCAGATAATGGACCCCCATCCCGGACAGTGAGCGTTCTTCTCTGTATACAGCTGTCCAATGACCATTAATATGAGGACATCCCACCATTCCAGATACTGGGTCCCCCCTCCCGGACAGCGAGCGTTCCTCTCTGTATACAGCTTTCCAATGACCATTAATATGAGGACATCCCACCATTCCAGATATGGCTCCCCCATCCCGGACAGTGAGCATTCTTCTCTGTGTAAAGCTGTTCTCTGACCATTAATATGAGGACATCCCACCATTACAGATACTGGCTCCCCCATCCCGGACAGTGAGCATTCTTCTCTGTATAAAGCTGTCCAATGACCATGAATATGAGGACATCCCACCATTCCAGATAATGGGCCCCCATCCCGGACAGTGAGCGTTCTTCTCTGTATAAAGCTGTCCAATGGCCATGAATATGAGGACATCCCACCATTCCAGATAATGGGTCCCCATCCCGGACAGTGAGCGTTCCTCTCTGTATACAGCTGTCCAATGACCATTAATATGAGGACATCCCACCATTCCAGATAATGGGCCCCCATCCCAGACAGCGAGCATTCTTCTCTGTATAAAGCTGTCCAATGGCCATGAATATGAGGACATTATGGTGATCATGTGTGGGAGGGGCAAAGCTCACATTATTATAATGACCCCATATACATAGATCCCTCTGCCCCTCTATTAGTTTCTGGCCCCTCTGTTGGTGTACAAACGAGCATTATAAAGGAAACCATGAAGTCTTACGAGAACAGAACTTGTTCCCGCTCAGCGACTTGGGCATTGAGGTCTCCATACACAGCCAGGCAATTGGTATCTTCAGAGACAAAGTTCTCTCTTAGCAGAGAGTATATCTGTACTAATCCAACATGGAGGTCCACATTTAATAATAAAAGGACCCCCCCATGTAACCGATGTACAGAATAATGTGAGCCTCCATAATACGGCTAAGTGGGAGAGGCGGCCCACATCACATCCTCCTAAGTGTGTTGGGTTAGTGCTTCTCTTCACCGGGGCGAGGGTTCAGATCCTTTGTATTTCCCCATTGATGATACTGATGAATTGATTCTGGTTCTGCCCCATAGTATGTGAGGACTCACTGATTTGTCTTCTTTCTACAAGCTGCGCCAAGCTTCTTCTCCAATATGGAGCCCATGTGAACCGGCAGACGGAGGATGAAGAATTCACCCCACTGCATGTGGCAGCTCAGCATGGACTGCTGGAACATGCTGATCTTTACCTGCGTTATGGGGCTGCTGTTGATAAGAGAAGTATAAATGGGGAGACCCCCTTGAGTGTTGCGTGCAGTCATCCTCAGGAACCACAGGATTTGGAGAGGTACTATCAGGTGTGCCAGCATCTCATACAGCATGGAGCCAACATTCATACCCGGGACAAGGACCAGCAGAGCCCTCTACACTTGGCCTGTAAAAGTGCTAATCCTCAGGTGGTGGAGCTGCTTTTGGAGAAGGGGGCAGAAGTCAACGTCATGAGCTATAGTGGCAACACCGCCATGCAGAACATTCTCCAGGTGACCTCATATAAGCTTCAGAACCAACCAGAACTCATTGTGCGGGCACTTCTGAATCATGGGGCCATCCGGGTGTGGCCAGGAGCCCTCATCAAGGTGAGTCATCATGTGATCTTATGTATCTGGAGGGTGCAAAGCAAACATAATTCTGAAGGTCATTGACAGACATACAAAGATACAAACATTGGAATACTCAATGCCAGCCTACACTGGAGATGTACACGACACAGAGGATACCCAAGACACGACTTCACCAATCCTAACATGAAACAGCCCTATAGAAGAGTTCTGAATGTTCCTGGGGCAGGGCATGACGTCTGAAGGAAGGACCTATAGTCCACACTGCACCAAAACAACTGCTCTGTGGTTGTGAGGAGCCACTTGAGGCCTTCTGACATATCACTAATTAATCCAGGCACTAGAGACTAGATTGGACTGTACCAGAACCTAGAGACTAAACTGGACTGTACCAGACCCTAGAGACTAGACTGGACTGTTCCAGACCCTAGACAGTAGACTGGACTGTACCAGACCCTAGACAGTAGACTGGACTGCCCCAGACCCTGGAGACTAGACTGGATTGTACCAGACTATAGAGAGTAGACTGGACTGCCCCAGACCCTAGACAGTAGACTGGACTGTACCAGACCCTAAAGACTAGACTGGACTGTTCCAGACCCTAGACAGTAGACTGGACTGTACCAGACCCTAGACAGTAGACTGGACTGCCCCAGACCCTGGAGACTAGACTGAATTGTACCAGACTATAGAGAGTAGACTGGACTGCCCCAAACCCTAGACAGTAGACTGGACTGTACCAGACCCTAAAGACTAGACTGGACTGTACCAGACCCTAGACAGTAGACTGGACTGTACCAGACCCTAAAGACTAGACTGGACTGTACCAGACCCTAGAGACTAGACTGGACTGTACCAGACCCTAGAGACTAGACTAGACTGTACCAGACCCTAGACAGTAGACTGGACTGTACCAGACCCTAGGTACTAGACTGGACTGTACCAGACCCTAGACAGTAGACTAGAGACTGTAGACTAGACTGTAGACTGTACCAGACCCTAGACAGTAGACTGGACTGTACCAGACCCTAGAGACTAGACTGGACTGTACCAGACCCTAGACAGTAGACTGGACTGCCCCAGACCCTGGGGACTAGACTGGATTGTACCAGACTATAGAGAGTAGACTGGACTGCCCCAGACCCTAGACAGTAGACTGGACTGCCCCAGACCCTAGACAGTAGACTGGACTGCCCCAGACCCTGGAGACTAGACTGGATTGTACCAGACTATAGAGAGTAGACTGGACTGCCCCAGACCCTAGACAGTAGACTGGACTGCCCCAGACCCTGGAGACTAGACTGGATTGTACCAGACCCTAGAGACTAGATTGGACTGCCCCAGACCCTAGAGAATAGACTGGACTGTACCAAACCATGGAGACTAGACTGGACTGTACCAGACTATAGAGAGTAGACTGGACTGCCCCAGACCCTAGAGACGAGATTGGATTACCCCAGACCCTAGAGAGTAGACTGGACTGCCCAGAGACCCTGGAGACTAGACTGGATTGTACCAGACCCTAGAGAATAGATTGGACTGTACCAGATCCTAGAGAGTAGACTGGACTACCCTAGACCCTAGAGACTAGACTGGACTGTACCAGACCATAGAGGCTAGATTGGATTGTACTAGACTCTAGAGACTACACTGGACTGCCCCAGACCCTAGACACTAGATTGGATTACCCAAGACTATAGACTCTAGACTGGACTGCACCAGACCTTAAAGAGTAGACTGGACTGCCCCAGATGCTAGAGACTAGACTGGACTGTACCAGACCCTAGAGACTACAATGGACTGCCCTAGACCCTAGAGACTAGACTGGACTGCCCTAGAGACTAGACTGGACTGCCCCAGACCCTAGAGACTAGATTGGATTACTCCAGGTCTGCCAGGCTGCATGCTCACATACGTATGAGTATTTTGGGTGGGAGCTTGCTTTTTTTTCTTGATGGTTCCATGGAGTTCCTCTTAAAATTCATACCAGACCTGAAGGACCCCTTTCCATTTTGTTTTTAACTATCCCAGACTCCATTGGTTACATAGCAGGGAATTCCAGGGCCAATGATGTCTCTGGTTGTTAAGGACTTGGGTGTAACTGCTCCCGCTGGGATCCTTGAGAACCATTGACAGCGGGAATCTGTCATGTATAATAGTGATAGTAATACTTCTATTGTACGTAACGTTTGGCTCCCGCTGAATCCACATTTATGTTCGGAGCGAACCGCAAGCTCATCCCTAGTCACCCATTGAACAGAATAGACAAAATCTTCAGCTTACCTATACGTCCCGCCATAGTCTTCCCATATCCCTCTGTTCATGTAAAGTATACATTGGGTTCAGGATACCTGTGGGAAATGTGTAGACATCTGCTTTATTTCAGAAAGAATAACACAAAGGTCCTATTTCAGGTTCTACGCTATTGTTACACGTCTCCACGGACCGTCGAAGTTCTGCTGAACACGTACAGTAAACTACAAGGGACAGAAGAGACTGGGCTGAGGTGGTACCAGAGGAAGAACAACAGGTCTGTCCATTCATCATGGCCTCCATGACGGGATAAAAGCTATAGTGAGGAAACCTCTCCAAGTCCCCCACCTTGAGGGACCCTTCATCTCCATAGAGGACATCTCAATGACCGCTCACATGTCCTCCACAATCCAGGGCTGTCCCCGTCTCTTTCCTACTAGAACTTGTGTGTCTCTATGGGAGACCATCATGGAGGATGTGTCTGGGTGACCATCAAAGAGGGTGTGTCTGGGTGACCATCACGGAGGGTGTGTCTGGGTGACCATCACGGAGGGTGTGTCTGGGTGACCATCACGGAGGGTGTCCTGTCATGACCTAACTCTCCATGCCTACATTAACACATAGGTGGCCATCCTGATGGGTGTGTTCTATGGGTGGTCCTCATGGTGGGTGTGTCCTGTCATGACCTAACTCTCCATGCCTACATTAACACATAGGTGGCCATCCTGATGGGTGTGTTCTATGGGTGGTCCTCATGGTGGGTGTGACCTATCATGACCTAACTCTCCCACATGGGTGTGTCTCTGTTGATTCTGTACTCAGGAGAGGAAAGATGGAAATACAACATCCTATGAGGAAGTTCTAGAGAGACTCTGTTGGGGGGGGGGGGGTCCCCACTATCTTATTAAACTTTTCCTACCATCTCAGATCGTCTTCTTCCACTTTACAAGTACAAGGTGGTTAGAAAGTCGCAGGTACATCCCGTAAATAAACCAACAAACTGCCAGGAAGCAGAGCAATCCAGAGGCAAGGGCCCTTATAATGTACTGTACGCTACAAGAGGGAGCAATTCCTTCCTGATCCTTACGAACAATTGTGACTTCCCAGGACAACAGTCTTGTTTCACAATAAGAAAAGCTTTATATATTTGAAGCCGAGTTTGACGTCATCTGCTGAGTCAGCTAGAATCGGTTCATGATGACATCAGCTCGATATTTCCAGGGCTCTTACTGTAAAGAACCATTTCTCAATGTGGAGGTTTCTGTGTCTCATGTGGTTCCATTTACATACAAGGTGACCATTTCCCCTCCCCTGCACTCTTTCCAGTTCTTTAATATCCTTTTCGAGGACCCAAAATGTAACTGCATATTCTGGATGAGGCCTTAGAAAGCTTTGCATAGGGACGTCTCAATTTGGGGTCCATACAATTCGGGGTACAGGCACCATTACTTTGTGCCCTTCAGAGTACATGGAGTAGAGAGGAGAACAAGCTGAAGCTGCCTGCTCAATAGCGAGAGCTCAGTCTGGGGCCAAGCCAGACCGTGTGAGGGAAAAATACAATGCGGAGACCCTGTGGGGGGAGGGGTGCTATGATTGACTAGGATAAATGATAAATACAAAAATGTGATGAGAAGGGACAAGTGGGGGGGGGGGGGGGTGTGTCTTAAAGGAGAACTATGCCAGCTAGTAGTAGTTGGTCACATTCAGCTGGACTTGGTCAATGATGAATTATTCTATGGTTGAACTGGATGGACGTTTGTCTTTTTTCAGCCAGACTAACTATGGAACTATGTTGAAGATGTTTTGTGTCTTCTCCAAGCCACTTCTTCAGTTCTAATGAGTGTCAGAAAGATCCCCCAACATTTATATCTACACCCTAAATTCATGCCTTCAGCCATGTAACTTGAGGAATTGACACCTAAGCAGACCCTCCTGCCACCAAGGATGGGAATGGTAACAAGAACGGGAGGAGGGGGGGCTCCACAATGCTCACACCTCCCATCCTGTCCTTAGACAATACCATCGACACGTTCCATGGTGACTGGATGAAGGTGTTGGCGGTACCTACCTGTGTGGGTATAAATGTTGGGGGATCTTCCTGAGAAACTGGAGAAGTGGCTTGGAGAAGATACAAAACCTTAGAGAACAAGTCCAGTTGTGACTACTAATACATATGCCACGACCTGCATACATGAGGACCTTCACAGACACAACTATGCCACACAGTTCTTTATGCGGAGGTGCCACTGTGACATAAATGTACAGATTTGAGTAGCGGAGATGTGATCTGTAGCAATATGTAATCGTAAAATTAGTTCAGTCCTTATCATTAAAGAAATATTCAGTCATAGGTACTCAGAGACAGATGGTCACCCATTAGCATCTGAAAAGAGACAGAGCAGCTTCCTCAGGCTGGAAGTGACACCTGGGGGCCAATAAGATGTTGTCACCTATATGTAATTAGACTTGGCCACCTTCCTGAAGTTTAAAAGAGAAATGCAGACGTTTCGGCTTCATGACACCTTGATCTTTCTGATGAGCTCTAATGTATATACACAGATCAAACGAGTATGTTTCCTCCCTCATAAAAGCTAAAATATTAGTTGCAGAGAGATGAAAATACTTCCTTCTGATTGGACACTCTGTAGGCTACATCAGCATATAAAAACTAAATTTGTGGCCTATGTAGAAGGCCAGGAAAATGCAGGAAATGGTTAGGTGGCGCTGGAGTGTGATAGCGGAACAGTGATTGGTACTTGGTGATTCAAGCAGGTCTTGGTCCAATTGACTTTGGGCAGGTCAGCACCCAGAACATCCTGTGGGTGGGTACAAGAACACCCCCCAGAGTCAATTGGCTGAGGACTAATGTCCCGCCTACATCCATATCCCCATAAATTGAGGACCTGGACATTGGGACATTGTAATTCGTATGGAGCCGGGTCGATCGACTAACAGATTGCTGACACTCTGACTTGATCCAGTCACAGGATAGATCTCGGTAAACGTTTTATTCTGTCTTTTATTCCCTTTTACTTTATAGTGAATAGTCATTTGTGTGTCTTCTTGTATTTCTTGTATTTCTGTAACTTTTTATATTTTGTACATATTTTATGCTCTGCCCACTTTCGGGAAATTAAATTAATTAGTGACTTCTGTGTATTTAAGCTCGGGCTCATATGTCCGGGGAGATGGGATTGGAGAGATTAGATTCGATTGTATTTTAGTGCCTTTAAACGCTCGGTCAAGCTCATTGCCAATCTGTATGCAATTGCATTGTGTGTGGGCAGATTGCGTGCAGATTGTAAAAGGTAATAGATTGGCCAGATGGAGATCTGTGTGTGTGGGGTGTCCCAGCAGACCGTTCTGTGGATAAACTGTTGGGTGGTGGCAGGCTGCCTTTTGTGGTGCGTCTGGTGTGGGGGGGTGTGGACAGTGGAGTGATTAACATTTGGGTTCTGGCTGGAGGATAGCTGGAGGGACTCTAGAAGGGTGTGTATTGCTGGGCTGCTCCTCCCCTCTAATCAGTGCACCAGATTGTATATAAGATTTGTATCTGCCAGTGTGTGGTCAGCCATCTGGATTGGAGTGGAGTCTCCCCCCGGTGGTGGCCAGAGGTAGTGCAGCTGTGGAAGGATATCACGGCTGATCTTATATACGGTTTTATATATTCAGAATTAAGTCCCCTTTATTCCCTCTTACCCCAAGTCACGGCCGCACGTGCGCCTCGGTTAGCTAGTCGCTGTGGGCGTGGCGTGTGGGGGATCCATGACAGTCACATTTGTTTTTCATTTTTCCATCCGTACCAAGCCAGTCATTAGAAGTGGACTCAGCTCCCAGAGGGCTCATGGGTGTACATTGTCTGGTCAAGGTTCTTTATTTACACATTTTTATTTATTTATTCTGGATTGGTGTTCAGCCATGACGGTGCACTTCGGGTTGGGTCGGTTCCATCCTCGTATCATCAGCACCGCCATGTTTCTTTGTGTGCACCGAGCTGTGGAGGAGATTTAATGTTGGCTCTCTCTTTGTTCTTTGATATTTTGGGCTTCTGTCCATTAACACCCATAAACCACTGATAGGTAGAACTGAGCACAGTGTCTGCTGGATGGAATCTCCTCTCTCTGGCAGATAGATATTTGGGTTGTTCCAACCCCTGAATTCCTGATTTCCTATATAATGCCTCTGAGGTTCTTTCTGATTTCTAACTTCATGTCTCGTTCTTTCCAGAAACATCTCCGGTTCTCCAGTCGGTCTTCTCGCTGTCCCACAGTCCACGTTCTCTTCAGCATCTCTGCCGCTGTGCTCTGCGCTCACACCTGGAGGGGCGGATGCCACAGGTTCTGCCCAAGCTGCCTTTACCACCCTCACTCCTGCAGTTCCTACAGCTTCGCTTTGAGGACATCTTGTACTGAGATATCCGGCACCTTCACTGTGCTGGAGTCACCTCACAGAGAGCCTACAAAGGACTCATCAGCTGTCTGCTGGGTTGAATGGTCATTAGACACAATGGAGAAGTCTGGGGTCACCTGTCTGACCTTCATCAGATCCTTCTTTGGCTGATAGACTATGTGTCCTTTCAGAACCTCCTATGGGTGGTCATCATAGTGGATGTGTCCTATGGGTAACCTTCGTGGAGGGTGTGTCTGGGTGACCATCACGGAGGGTGTGTCTGGGTGACCACCACGGAGGGTGTGTCTGGGTGACCATCACGGAGGGTGTGTCTGGGTGACCATCACGGAGGGTGTGTCTGGGTGACCATCACGGAGGGTGTGTCCTATCATGACCTAACTCTCCATGCCAACATTAACACATAGGTGGCCATCCTGATGGGTGTGTTCTATGGGTGGTCCTCATGGTGGGTGTGTCCTATCATGACCTAACTCTCCATGCCAACATTAACACATAGGTGGCCATCCTGATGGGTGTGTTCTATGGGTGGTCCTCATGGTGGGTGTGTCCTATCATGTCCTAACTCTCCATGCTTACATTAACACATGGGTGGCCATCATGGAGGGTGTATCCTGTGGGTGGTCATCAATGGTGGGTGTGTCCTATCATGACCTAACTCTCCATGCTTACATTAACACATGGGTGGCCATCATCAAGGGTGTGTCCTGTGGGTGGTCATCATGGTGGGTGTGTCCTGTGGGTGGTCATCATGGTGGGTGTGTCCTATGGGTGGCCATCATGGTGGGTGTGTCCTATGGGTGGCCATCATGGTGGGTGTGTCCTATGGGTTGCTATTATTGAGGGTGTGCCCTATGATAATCTAACTCTCCGTGCTTACATTAACACATGAGTGACCATCATGGATGGTGTGTCCTATTGGTGGCCATCATGGTGGGTGTGTCCTATGGGTGGCCATCATGGTGGGTGTGTCCTATGGGTTGCTATTATTGAGGGTGTGCCCTATGATAATCTAACTCTCCGTGCTTACATTAACACATGAGTGACCATCATGGATGGTGTGTCCTATAGGTGGTCATCATGGTGGGTGCGTCCTATGGGTGGCCATCATGGACAGTGTGTCCCTGTCGGGTCCTCATGGTAGGTGTGTCCTATCATACCCTAACTCTTCATGCTTACATTAACACATGGGTGGTCATCATGGAGGGTGTGTTCTATGGGTGGCCATCATGGTGGGTTTGTCCTATAGGTAACCATTATGGAGAATGTGTCTTATGGATGGTCATAATGGTGGGTGTGTCCTATGGGTGACCATCATGGAGGGTGTGTCCTATCATAACTTAACTCTCCATGCTTACATTAACATACGGGTGGCCATCATGGTGTCCTATGAGTGGCCATTGTGCTTACACTAACATATGGGTGGCCATCATGGCCGGGCCAAAAAGTGGGCAGAGGGTTTGGCTGCTTTGTGTGTACAAAGGGCAGAACCTGTCACCTAGTCCACAGCCTGTGGGGGGCGCACTGTGGCCTCTTCACCTTGAGATGGTAGTGGACCTGGCACAGGTAGCCATATTATATGAGCAGCACAAGGTCTCCTGACTATTTCAGGTTCTTGGACCTTTGTTGGACCTTTGTTGGATCCTCCTGGCTGTGTATGAGCAGAAATAATAAACACACAAAGATTTGGATGAAACGGTTGGAGTGTCTTCATCATTGCAGGTCAGAAGGAATGTCCGCAGGTTCTACACATCAGGGACCCCTATGGTGCCCCTCACATGTGAGCCAAGCCAAGTGTAGTGTCTGAAGCCTGAGGATGAGCAATACGGAGTGTGAAGATGATGGACAGAGAGGGATCTGAGAGACAAGGATGGATGGATATTGGGGGGTCTTGTAGAACCATTGGGCCCTGGCCCCCCTTCTCTGTGGTATGTGCAATACATTAGGAGGTCTGGAAAAACCATTGGACCCCGGCCCCTCTTCCCCATGGTAGGTGCATTACATTGGGGGGTCTTGTAGAACCATTGGGACCCGGCCCCTCTTTCCCATGGTAGGTGAATTACATTGGGGGGTCTTGTAGAACCATTGGGCCCTGGCTCCTCTTCCCGTGGTAGGTACATTGGTGCATTAGAACATTGGGACCCGGCCCCTCTTTCCCATGGTAGGGCATTACATTGGGGGGTCTTGTAGAACCATTGGGCCCTGGCTCCTCTTCCCCATGGTAGGTGCATTACATTGGGGGTCTTGTAGAACCATTGGGCCCCGGCCCCTCTTTCCCCATGGTAGGTGCATTACATTGGGGGGTCTTGTAGAACCATTGGGCCCCTGGCTCCCTCTTCCCCATGGTAGGTGCATTACATTGGGGGGTCTTGTAGAACCATTGGGCCCGGCCCCTCTTCCCCATGGTAGGTGCATTACATTGGGGGGTCTTGTAGAACCATTGGGCCCTGGCTCCTCTTCCCCGTGGTAGGTGCATTACATTGGGGGGTCTTGTAGAACCATTGGGCCCCGGCCCCTCTTCCCCATGGTAGGTGCCTTACATTGGGGGGTCTTGTAGAACCATTGGGCCCCGGCCCCTCTTCCCCATGGTAGGTGCATTACATTGGGGGGTCTTGTAGAACCATTGGGCCCCGGCCCCTCTTCCCCATGGTAGGTGCATTACATTGGGGGTCTTGTAGAACCATTGGGCCCCGGCCCCTCTTCCCCGTGGTAGGTGCCTTACATTGGGGGGTCTTGTAGAACCATTGGGCCCCGGCCCCTCTTCCCCATGGTAGGTGCCTTACATTGGGGGGTCTTGTAGAACCATTGGGCCCCGGCCCCTCTTCCCCATGGTAGGTGCCTTACATTGGGGGGTCTTGTAGAACCAGACCAAGGATGCCGACAACGCAGCCGCACTCCATCTTCCGGCACATGGAAGGTCATGTTGGTTTTGGACGAACACGGCTCCATTTTCATCATCTCAGATCTCAGGAAAGCCCTTCCTCCACCGTCCATCACCTTCCATCACCATGGCAACCGTCTTCTAGGAGAGGAGGAGTCAGTAAAGAGATAGAATGACATCACAATACAGTAGATGATGACATCATAGTTAGCACAGTATACAGGAAGGCAGTGTTGGGGTCCTGCAGCTTGGAGCGCACTGATCTGAGATGCAGCGCATTGATCCCAATGTGTCTGTACACACAGGCGGGTGACCCAGCGCTGCGCCTTCTTCAGGAGGACCGTTCCCGGTCAGTATTATTATATTATCGCAGAATATATTGTGAGCGCAAAACCAACGCCGGAAATTACCGCCAGAAAGACAAAACATCACCGGGTGCAAGAGGCCATACCGAGTCATTTCAGTGCTGGCCGGGATGACCTCCCTACTACACCTCCTGCAACAGAGATCTGCATGAGAAATGCGGGGGTGGGGTAGGATCAGTGACATGGGGGGCAGTAATAAAGGGGGGGCGGGGCAGTAATACAGAAGGACAGGGTCAGTAATACAGGGGGCGGGGGGTCATTACTACAGGGGGGTTCAGGGTCAGTAATACGGGGGGGGGACAGGGTCAGTAATACAGGGGGGGGGTCATTACTACAGGGGGTTCAGGGTCAGTAATACGGGGGGGGGGACAGGGTCAGTAATACAGGGGGCGGGGTCAGTAATACAGGGGGGTTCAGGGTCAGTAATATGGGGGGGACAGGGTCAGTAATACAGGGGGTGGGGTCATTACTACGGGGGGTGGGGTCAGTAATACGGGGGGGGACAGGGTCAGTAATACAGGGGGAGCAGGGCCAGTAATACGGGGGGGTGGGGTCATTAAGGGGGGTTCAGGGTCAGTAATACAGGGGGGTCATTTACAGGGGGGTCAGGTCAGTAATACAGGGGGGGGGACAGGGTCAGCAATACAGGGGGGCGGGGTCATTACTACAGGGGGGTTCAGGGTCAGTAATACGGAGGGGGGGTCAGTAATACAGGGGGGTGGGGTCATTACTACGGGGGGTGGGGTCAGTAATACGGGGGGGGCAGGGTCAGTAATACAGGGGGGGCCAGTAATACGGGGGGGTGGGGTCATTAATACAGGGGGGTTCAGGGTCAGTAATACAGGGGGGGGGTCATTACTGTCAGGGGGGTCAGTCAGTAATACGGGGGGGGGACAGGGTCAGTAATACAGGGGGGGGTCATTACTACAGGGGGGTTCAGGGTCAGTAATACGGGGGGGGTCAGTAATACAGGGGGTCAGGGCCAGTAATACAGGGGGTGGGGGTCAGTAATACAGGGGGGGGGTCAGTAATACGGGGTGGGGTCATCGGGGGTCAGTAATACAGGGGGGTACAGGGGTCAGTAATACAGGGGGGACAGGGTCAGTAATACAGGGGGGGGTACAGGGTCAGTAATACAGGGGGGGGGTCAGTAATAATGGGGGGTGGGGGGGCAGGGGTCAGTAATACAGGGGGGCAGGGTCAGTAATACAGGGGGGGACGGAGTCAGTCAGTAATACAGGGGGGCGGGGTCAGTAATACAGGGGGGCAGGGGGTCAGTAATACAGGGGGGACGGGTCAGTAATACAGGGGGGGGGGGCGGGTCAGTAATAGGGGGGGCGGGGTCAGTAATACAGGGGGGCAGGGGCAGTAATACAGGGGGGGGTCAGTAATACAGGGGCGGGGTCAGTAATACAGGGGGCGGGGTCAGTAATACGGGGGGCGGGGTCAGTAATACAGGGGGGACGGGTCAGTAATACAGGGGCGGGGTCAGTAATACAGGGGGGCGGGGTCAGTAATGCAGGGGGGTACAGGGTCAGTAATACAGGGGGCAGGGTCAGTAATACAGGGGGGGCTGGGTCAGTAAAACTGGGGGGCAGGGTCAGTAATATTTGTGGCATCCTACATAAATTCCGGGGACTCCGCCCCTTGTGGCAGCATACATTCCGTGGACTCCGCCCCTTGTGGCAGCCTACATTCCGGGGACTCTGCCCTTGTGGCAGCATACATTCCGTGGACTCCGCCCCTTGTGGCAGCCTAC